AAAAGGAGAATTGCTTAATTACATTTTTTGCATAGGTAGGCAATTCTAGAGATATCTGCATTAACGGTGGTAACCATTGTAAACCATAATGATCTTGGCCAGAATAAGTGATTCATTTGCCATAGCTTACACACATAGTAAGCTATTCGTGCAAACAAAAATCCCTGTTAGCTGATACTTTATAATGTCTTGCTTTCTTATGCAAGAACATTTGACCCTCCTGAGATCTCATAATTTACTAAATTAAACTTGCTGAGTACATGAGTGGAAAACACGCAACAAATCTGGCCTATTTTAATGTGAAATGCATGTGGACTTTGATTTATTTTCATGGATATGACTCAAACAGTAAGCCTGAGGAAGAAGGAGAGAGGTTACATCTGTAAAGCAACTAGCATATTGTTAGGAGCAAGGTAAAACACATTGCAAGTAATGTAGTAGTCCATTGATCAATGTTATGAGATATCCAGAAATGTTGTTTGTGATTGGGTTCCTTTTGTAAAGCCCAGGGATTCGGCGGGAATAACAGCCGGAGTCTAAGTAACCGTCAAAAAAGGATTTGTTTTATTAACATGACTATTAAACAGTTCAGAACCAAACGGGTTCGTATTTTCTTCATTGTCAAACAGATTGTATTTCTTGGGTTTTACCCCAGGTCCCATGTCTTTAACCTTTACAGTTTCTTCACCCCAAAGAGGGAGGTTGTGGTCGGGGCGGTGAGGGGTGCACTCAGCACCGAACAAGTGGTCCGGCAACACGGGTGGATTACCACTGAGCCTTCCAATCGAGGGAGGTAAGGGCTGGTTCCACCAGGGATCCCTTGGCTCATCGTGGGGGAAGAACTCGACCCCCCTCCCTGTCTCCATTCCCTACGAGGCTCACCTACTACCAGTTTATTGACTTCTGTTGGTAGCGGCAGCAATCCGTCCTCCTTCATGAGGTTTGGAAACGTCTTTACCAGCGTTACAATCCTTTCCCTCTCTATCCCAGTTTCCACCGTCTGTGTAGCTTTCTCCTCACCCAAGTCTCCTCCTCCCTTCTTCTCCCTCTCCTCTTTTATACCTTCATCCCATCTCCAAGTTCCTGACCCCTCCCCCCAGTCCATGGTTCTCTTGGCCAGAAACACTTCTACTGCTTTATTTGTTGTACCCTCTTCATCATCTAATTTAATCAACTCCCCCACCACACATCCTTTGCTTTCTTCTCTCTCTGGCATCTGCGAGGACGGCTCACTTCTCTGCCTCCACTCACACCTGGTTTCACTGGATTGGGTTTCGTCTCCTCAAGAGCTGTTTTTGCACTCAGGTCCTTGGGCAAGTGGTCTTTTAGCCCCGCCGGGTCTCTGTTCCAGGAAATGGGGATTCGGTGGCTGGACCCACGGCTGTAGCCCTTTTGCGATGCCACGTGTGAAACAGCTTCAGTGCTCCAAGCCTGCCCACAACTCAAAACCCCGTGAAGAACTTCTACTGCTCTCCCGTACGGTGTGGATTTCGAAATGAAAAGCAAAGTTTTGACTAGTACGGAAGTTCATCCCACATTCCGGGCATTTAAAAGGTTTAAAGGAATGTGTTTTCTTATGGGCGACGAGAGTACTCCGCTGACCAAAGCCCTTCCCGCACTCTGGACATTTATAGGGTTTCTCTCCTGTGTGGGTTCTCCGATGATACGTGAGGGCACTCAAGGGCGTGAAGCTCTTCCCGCAGTCGGGACATTTATACAGTTTCTCTCCCGTGTGGGTTCTTTGATGATAGATGAGAGCCCGACTATGACTGAAGCTCTTCTCGCACTCTGAACATTCATACAGCTTGTCTCCTGTGTGGGTTCTTTGATGATCGGTGAGGGTACTTTTCTGAATGAATCTTTCTCCACAGACGGAGCATTCAAAAGGCTTCTCCCCCGTGTGCGTTTTTTTATGGTAAGCAAAGCTACTGCTCTGAGCAAAACTCTTCCCACAAATGGAGCAGTTATAGGGCTTCTCTCCAGTGTGGATTCTCTGATGGTTGACAAGAGCACGGCTCCGACTGAAGCTCCTTCCACACTCCGAGCAGGTGAACGGCTTCTCTCCCGTGTGGGTTCTTTGATGGTCCGCAAGGGTGCTGCGCTGAGAGAAGCTCTTTCCACACTCTGAGCATTTATAGGGTTTCTCTCCCGTATGAGTTCTTTGATGGACAGCAAGACTGTTACTCCGGCAAAAGTTCTTTCCACACTCCAGGCACTTATAGGATTTCTTCCTTGTGCAGACGCTTCCCGTTGTCTCCGTTAATGGTTTCTCCCCAGTGCAATGTTCTCTTAAAATGGACACCCCATGGAACTCCATGACCTCACAAACAAGAGACCTTTTCCTCAGCTTTTGTTTTGTTTCCGTCTGTGGTTCAACATTTCCGCTCGTCCCTCCTACAAGAAATAAATAAAGAAAACCATGGAGGGAGTCATGAATCCTCGCATTTGAATAATCTGTGCAGAAAGCCATAAAGAAGACAACAAGGAAATGAATCTTGAGTGGTCCTGACCCAACAGATAGGTGGGATATAATTAATTAACTAATTAATTAATTAATTAATCATCATCATCATCATCATCATCATCATCATCATCATCATCTTGTTGTGAATTAAAACAACCGCTGTCCACTAACAATCAGCCAACAGACAAGCGGGACAAGAGGAAGAGCAAATGTGAGATGGATTGACTTCCTAGAGCGGTCTTTCCCAAACCTGGGTAACCCAGATGTCTTTGGACTCCAACTCCCAGAAATCCTGGCCAGCACAGCTAGTGGTGAAGGCTTCTGGGAGTTTTAGTCCAATAACGTCTGGGGACCCAAGGTTGGGAACCACTGCCCTAAAAGAAGCCACAGGGTTAGGTTTGCAAGAGTTGAGCAGGGCTGTTGAGGAAGAGGATATTCCGGAGATCTTCCATTCATGAAGTCACCGTTAAGCCATGAGTGACTTGATAACACCTAATAGTAACAAGAACAATGCTGTCAAATTACTCTCCCTCCATCCAGACACAGGCTTCATCCCCAGTGTTGCTTCTTGAAGAAGCTTATTTATTTATTTATTTATTTATTTATTTATTTATTTATTTATTTATTTATTTATTTATTTATTTATTTATTTATTTATTTATTTATTTATTTATTTATTTATTTGATTTATAT